TGTTCTGAAATTTTAGCAGATAGCAGTTCTAAACGGTGGGAATTAGAAACTTTGTCGCTCTCATTTTTTTGGTGAAAAATGGAAAATTTTCAAAATTTTCTAAAATTTTTATTTTTGGGAATTTTGAAATTTCAGTTATATTTCAGTTATATTCCAACAATATAAGTTTTGTTCTGAAATTTTAACTTTGATTTTTCACTTTTTTCGCATTTTGGTCAAATCGTAGAGTTCTTATTTTTTTAAAACGGCCCCAACGATTTTCTGAAACTTCAGGAATATGAAGTTGAAGGAACAAACCAGTCCATGAACTATAAATGAAAATCCTCTAATCACCGGAAGTAGTCAAGAAAGGTATCCAAACTTTGACAAAATTGTGAAAAGTGGGTGCCTGTGCGGAAAATGCGATGTATCAATTGTGTTCTTGACGTTTAGTTCAAGTTTTATATCGTTTAATAGCCAATTGAATTGTCTATCAGATGGTACTTCAGCGACAAGTTTCTATCAAAAACTAAAAAAGTTATATGACTTTGAAAAGTAAGGTATTTTGCGATTTCGAGCAACTTTAGACGCATGTTTCTCGGAAACGCCCACAACGATTTTTTTAAAACTTTCTCAATCGAGAGATAAATGGGTACTCTGTTGTGTGAAACCACTGTATCATTTTTTGAAATGTCAGGGGTAGCCGAAAAATGAGATCGAAAATCGAAAACGTCGTATTTTTACGATTTGGAGCATTTTTAGAGGTCTATTTCTCGAAAAGTCAACATAATATTTTTTGGGAACTTCTTCTACAGAGAGGCCTATCAGTAGTGTTATTAGACTAGGCCCAATTCTGGAAAAAGGCTCTAATAAAAGATATTGAGGCATTTTTTAGTAGGATTTGGTATCCATTCTCTTTTACCTATTTTAAGGGTGCTGATTACAAAAAAATAGGATACCAAGCTGAAAAAAGTGTTTTTGACCCTCAAATTGAAATACAAAATGGCCGCCAAAATTGCATCAAATTGTGACGGGCGTGCACGGTATTTGTGTCTATAATTGTATTAATCCTTTTTAATTTTTGAAATATTTACTTTTCAAGACATTCAAAGAATGCTGATCATAAATAGATAGGATTTCAACCTAAAAAAAAAATAAATTTGGGACCCCCAAATTTGAAAAACAAAATGGCCGCCATAGTGATGTTATTTATGCATGGTACATTATCAACTGAGACTGAATTCTTGTTGATAATCTTTTTAAATGTGATTTTTTCAAACATTTTATAGATGCTAACAGCAGTGAAATTGTTTACCAAGCTAAAATGAATTCTTTTGGACCATCACAAATAAAACAAATTGTTTGAAGAAATTATTTTCGTTATGAAAATACTGATTTGTTTTCATATTAACACATTGTAAATTTATACCATTACACTCTACAACTAAAATGATACTTTTATTTTCCCCTCAAGGTAGAAAACTGCCTTTCATTGGAAATACTTCTATTTTATATCTGCTCAAATTCACGCGAGCTCAGAGAGATGGAATATGGGATCTGCACCTTCAATCCTTCACATGTATGTTACCCTACTTCCTTCGGTATGATCACTACAACTATGGGCGATGTGGTCCTGTATATGTGGCAGATATGAAGACCTTACCAGATGTGGTTCAAGATGAGTTTCAGAAGGGAAACTTTGTAGTGAAAAGATCTGAGCGAAAATTCAATCAAGTTGATCCAGATCAGGCGCAAGAGTGGCTGAATGGCACTGGCAAAAGAGATGGGCATTATCATACAATCTCAGATATCACATTGCAGCAGACACCCATGATATGTTTCACGTGCATCCAAAGGATATTCTCGGTCACAACGAAGCAAAACCAGGACGGAAACATCGAGATAATGCAGACGAAGACACTCTTGTAACCATATTACAGCGTTTCAAAGTATTCACGCCTGATGTTCAACCAAATGTATTGCAAAACATTGCCACAAAAGACCTTGCAACCGAGAAGATACAGGAATCCTTACTTGATGCAAAAGTTCTTGGTCAGCAACAGCTTGATGACTTTGTAAGCTGTCGTCTACTCAGCAGAACAGAATCACCTCCAAGACAAAGTATATACAGCCCATTGAAAAGGAACAACTGCTTGACATCTGGGAACCTGTACGATGTTGAACATAAGCATACCACTAAGAACAATGGAACAGTGATGAAGGCAGATAGAAATGTTCTTCAGCGTCTCATCGTCTCATCTGCAGCTGGACGTGTTGTGGATCTTCAAAACATCTTAAACCATGAACCTATGTCAGTGCCAGTAGCTCTTGCTGAAACCATCAGCTCTCTGAGGTCAGGGAATAAGTCAGTGTTGGGTGACATCTTAACTTCTGATGTGGATTGATGTTGTGTTTGACAGATACAGAGATGAATCGATTAAATCTCAAACCAGACAGCGAAGGTCCCAAACAACAAGGCCAATACGACGTTTTGTGGAAGGTAGAGATGTGCCACTTCCTCACTCATAGACCAACTTCATAGCCTTAACTTCTAACAAAGCTGACCTTGCTCGTTTCTTATCAGAAGAGCTACTGGAAAATGCTCCACATGATAAAGAGGTAGTTGTAGCTGGTGGCTTTGTCGACTAGAAAGAAGTCAAGTCTTCCAAGTCCACTGTAAACCTGGATCAATTAAGGTCAACCCATGAGGAAGCTGACACACATCTTATCCTTCATGTCATCAACATCACCTCAGGCACGGTTGTAGTGGCTGCCTGAGATACAGATGTCCTCCTGCTTCTTTTGGCACATTTTTCATCTTTCAAAGCTGACCACGTCTGGATGTTGACAGGAACTGCCCAGAAAAGAATGTTCATTCCAATTGGTAAAGTTTACAAAACCATACCAGTACATTCGGTTGCATCACTGTTGCCGTTTCATGCACTGGCAGGCTGTGAATCTACATCCTACTTATGTGACCACACTAAGAGATCAGCGTGGATCAAAACTTTCTTGCACAGCTGCGTGTGGCTGCAGAACGCCTGGTGATGAAGAAAGTTGTTTCAATGACAAATCGAATGTGTAGTAGTTGAACTGAAACGCAAGTCAGAAAGATGCCTACTTTATGAATTCAAAATATAATTAAATGTAGAATTTATTGAAGCTAGATATGGTGATTATGCGTTACCAAATTGCAAAGCATGACTTCAGAAGTTTCACACGACTTTTATAAATGATATTTGTCTGTTTCACTTGATAATTTGTGTTGATTGTTGATTGTTTAAGAAAATTTCCATGATATTTTCTTTCTAAAGGATTAAAAGTATTCATGAAGATATGCACTTGTGTATTTGTATATCAATACCTTTTAGGGTACAATGACGTCAGTTAATCAGAAAGAACAGGTTTAACGACTGTGACAGTTTCACAGATGATGATACACTGTGCACACCTACCACTAGTAGAGACGAATATAACGGCCATTTTGTTTTCTATATTTTGTGGTTCAAAAACATTATGATCACCTTGATGTCCAATATTGTTATGAACAGCAGTGTTTTAATGTCTTGATAAAGTCGCATTTAAAAAGAATATAAACAAGAAAACAATCTCAGTTGGTGATGTACCGTGCACAAATAACATCATTTTAGGCGACTATGGCGGCCATTTTGTTTTTCAAATTTGGGGGTCCCAAAGTTTTTTTTAGGTTGTAATCCTATTTATTCATGATCAGCATTTTTTGAATGTCTTGAAAAGTCAATATTTCAAAAATTAAAAAGGATTAATACAATTATAGACACAAATACTGTGCACACCCGTCACAATTTGATGCAATTTTGGCAGCCATTTTGTTTTTCAATTTTGAGGGTCAAAAACACTTTTTTCAGCTTGGTATCCTATTGTTTCGTAATCAGCACCCTTGAAATAGGTTAAATAGCCTGGATACCAAATCCTACTAAAAAATGCCCCTTGCTTTACTTTTATCCATAATCGGGCCTAGTCTATCATGCTAACGTTAACGTCAGACAGCATGACAGATTCGGGTGTGGGTCTGTTATGGTGTGGGGAGGAATCACCATGACTGGCAGAACGGACTTGCATATTGTTAAAGGAAGGGTAACTGGTGTGTACTACCGTGACCACATCCTGACACCGATAGTTCTGCCCTTTGCTCAACGTGAAGGTCGACGTTTCATCTTTCAAGATGATAATGCCCGTGTCCACCGCGCTCGTGTCATGAATGTCTACCTCCAGCGTCACCATATTGTGCAAATGCCTTGGCCAGCCATGAGTCTTGACCTTTCCCCAATAGAGCATGTCTGGGACATGATCGGGAGACGTGTTCGTCGACGTCAACGTCAACCGACAACACTGCAAGAATTGGCCGTGGCACTGCAAGAGGAGTGGGTCAGATTGCCTCAAATTGTGATTGGACGGTTGATTAGGAGCATGCCATGACGAATTGCTGAATTTCTGAGGTTTGGTTGAGCAATTACTCATTATTAAGACAAAAATCATAAACGTCCATTTTGACGTTTGACAGTGTATCTCTTTGCGAGTAAAATGGGGCCGTCAGATAAGCCGCCCATATGAACTGTTTATGTTGATATGTAGGCAATTGGCCTGTTATTAACATACACTAGTTACCTCTAATAAAAACAGCAGTGCATTTCCGCAGTTTTGTATCGTTTCTGAATATCCCCTACTTTTTCTGAAGAATGTCCCGTATACTGTAACAACTGTGTGATTTGATGATATATTTGTTAAAGATACATTCACACGTACAAACTATGCGATTTGATGATATATTTGAAATAAAAACATATTCAAGCTAATTTATCTATCAAAACTTTGCTTTATATCACTTTCAAAATATTTTACTCGGTAGAAAGCTACCCCATGCCACGAAAATCTATTATTAGCCTTGCGTATCACATGACTTGATGAAATATATATTTAACTTGAGCTACTGAGACTTTTTTATTAAAATCTTTGATTACTTTTTAAATTTATTCATTTAGTTTCGTACCAGAAAGTATCCGATGGTTAACGGTAAAAGGAAAATTGGAGGACGCCGCGGCTGTAGCACGTAATATAGCCAGGAGAAACAAAAAACCGATACCGAACACCGACATCTTGGAACTGGTGGCCGAGGACGAACGGCGGATTAACAAAACCTATTCAACTTATAGTCATTTAGATTTATTTCGTAACAAACGAATTTCTCTGATAACTTTACGTGTTTGGTTCTCTTGGTGAGTAGAAAGTCATTCACTCCAAACTCTTCTAGCTATAAAATGATTCGGGTAAAACAATAGTTTATTGCATTTTATAGGTTCCATTATTTTGTTCCAAGTTTACTTCTGTAGATGAAAGGGCTGTTCAGATAGAACCGAGAAAATAAAGCTAGAGGGGTAGGGGTGGGGATGGGTGCTTATTCTATCTTTTTTTAAATTAAAAGGTTCGCCTCCTCTGTTTCTTACTGGTGTCTTATCCTTGGAGTACAAAATATGTCGGGCAATTTTTATCTCAACTTTTTTCAAGTATCTATCGTGGAGATTCCAGCATCCTTTATAGTTCTACTCGTTGTCAACAGGTGAGCCAGTATTACGTTTATTTGTCCTTTTTGTGACCGAATTAAAAACGCCAGTTTTCAAATAGTGAGGACTCATTTTTGTGGATTTTTTTTCCATTTTTGTAACCTTAACCCTCTCTCACCGCATAAAGAATAACCCAGCACATAGTCGAAAAGATATTCTTTTTTTGCAATTTAATCATACCATTTTTACGTGGCAGGGAAAAGTTTGTTGTGTGGCAAAATGCGTGTGTTAAACTACCATACAGTAATCGACATGGTCTCGTGTAGTCTGTTGGCGCACATAACCATGCTGTAACCGACCATGTTCATATTTTCAATATCTGTAACTTCTCTGTTATTTAGAAAACGTTTTGGAAGAAGATGGTCTGTAGCCATGTTTAATATAGGTGTATCTGTGGGGGCATTTTGTGCTATTTTGACGTCTTTAATCGGTAAGTAGAATTGTATATTATAATAGGGTTAGGGTTACATTTGATTATAATAGGGTTAGGGTTAGGGTTACATTTGATTATGGTTACATTTGATTATAATAGGGTTAGGGTTAGGGTTACATTTGATTATAATACTAGAACACTTATTATGGATACAATCACTTGATTATAATACTAGAACACTTATTATGGATACAATCACTTGGTTTATTATACTGCAACGTTTCAATAACATTTCACAAGTCGTTTTCAAGCAAATACCTAATGTACAAATGGGTGAAATAAATATATATGTACAATCAATAATATCGTTAATAAACGAGCTGTATAGACAGGTGACAAAGATTATTGTGATGATATAAAAACTCTAGGTTAATTCAGAGTCACATTTAAATCATTATAAATATATCATAATGCATTTTGTAATACAGTTTTAAACAATGTTTACAATATTTGATATATTTTAATATTTTAAACGTCCAAGTGGCTGTCAACATGGATGACTCGAGGATTGTGTAGGGTTAATTGTGGCTCTCAACATGGATGACTCAAGGACTTTGTAGATTTCATACCTCACGTTATTACACATGCGACTGTACTGACCATTTTCTACTTCCGGTCACTATATTTGTTGTATGTAGTCGTAGAGGGGAATGAAACCAGTCCTGAGCAATCTGCAGGAGTATTTAAATCTACCCAAGACAAAATAAAACTGTTAAATATATTTTCTCGATTCAGCCCCACCAGAACACAAAGCTTATTACGTCAGTATCTGTGCAATGGTAGCGAATTTTTGTTCAACATGTAGTTGGTCATGTTTGTCTCCATTTACTGCTGAATTGTATCCTACAGTTATACGGTTAGTAGACTTGATTATTATACAGTTATACGGTTAGTAGACTTGATTATTATACGGTTAGTAGCCTTGATTATTCGCACTAAACTGAAAGACAGTGCTCGTGTTTTATATTCTAAAATTGTAATTGTGTTCCATATTATGTTGTTGTGTTTATTACGTGTGTATTTTGAGCTATTGGTCCAGTAATTGAATGTGTGCAAGTATTTGATGTACACGTTGACAGATTGTAAGCAAAACCAAATGTTACTATCTATCAACTTACGGCCATTTAAAGGGAAATAACCCGGGTTTCATTCTCTAGATGTATATACAAGTTTTGCGATATTTGTTAAGAATGTTTTTAAGACGTGTAAACTAGTGTACCCATAGTATGTGTGTCCACCGCTATGATTTCTTCTGTCTGTGGACGAAATGTAAACTTCCATCCGCTCTGTTTCTTTATTTTACTATTAAACCACTGTAATCTATCTGATCAGTAGAATGGAATACACATTACACATTTAAAAAAAAACCATATATTAAATCACGTTCTATTTCTCGTCATGTTGATAATAAATATATAATATTGGTTGATTGTAGAAATCTTGGTTACGGTAGTGCAGGAACTGTTACAAGGTTGGGGGGCATCTTCGCCTCACAAGTTATATCATTGGTGAGTAGACAAGAAAAAGGTGTAGGGTGGGGTGTGGGTATGAATGATGCTTACCCGACATATAGTCGTTCCTCGTCAGTACATACCAGCATAGCATACCCCGTGTACTACTATGGTCTCTACTTACCAAAATACTCTTATCCGTGTACTACACTCGTATCTACTTACCAGCATACTCTACGCCGTGTAGTACACTCGTCTCTACTTACCAACATATCCTACCCTTTGAACTACAGTCGTCACTACTTACCAGCATACCCTACCCCATGTACTACAGTCGTCATTCTAACTACTTACCAGCTTACCCTACCCTTTGACCTATAGTTGTCACTCGTCACTACTTTCGAGTATACCCTATTACGGTATTAGAGCGTACCTAGTTTTGCGTGTTATGACCAGTATTAATTCATAGACTCGCCTATAATATTGCTTGTGGTTTATGTTAATACACCATTTCTTTATATTTACAGGCTGTTAAAGGTGGTTATGTCCCGTATGTTATTATCTGTATTCTTATGACCATAGACACGTGTTTTATACTAACCTTACCGGAAACACGTGGTGAGGCGCTCGAAGATACCCTTAATACAGAGAAGACATTTGACCACACATTGTCAGAGGTTAACGAAAAATTACAAACCAAGACAGAGCTTGAAAAACATAATGTCTAAAACATCTAAATGTTAGGACTTTTCACACTATTTCAATTTAGATTGTAAATCACCCACGTGACCTCGATTCATCCAATCAATTAAATACGCAAACATTTGATCTATTTTTAAACTATTATAACAAGAACTCCAGCTCTTTAATTAATACATCTTTAATACGGCAATTTATTCTGAAAATATGACATATAGATATACAGATAAAATAACTCATCACTCAGGGGTTTTAAAATGTGCTATTTATTGCCTTCCACACAGCGTTGATTACCGTGTGGATCAAGAGACTGTTTACGAGCACAGCAGTTAAAAAGGAATAATGAAAATAAATAAATATATACAATGTGTAAAAGGTTACCTTGCTCGGGGATTGTTATTGTTATTCGTTAAGTCAGTTAAGGCCCTCGAGACTTGTTGTTCCACGTTCATATCTCGAGCCTGTGGTGGTGGTGGTGGTCTTGTTTTGCTGTCTCCACTGGGGAAACAAGTTTCGTTCCACAAAGGATCGTCCATTTGTAGAAATCGCCGACTGTCGCAATATACCATTTTGCCCAGCACTGACGAGTACCAACCTAAACAAACAAAGAATAGTCATACCAAATCCATTGTTTCGTTTTAATATTACGACCCATCCTTTTCCCATTATAGACAATACGAGACACTTCAAATAAAATTCACATGAAACTTACCTTGGGTGTTGCAACGCGGACACGCCATTACGGAATTCTGTTGCATATGACCAAGCTCTTTTGCCGCCCCTGAGATATCTTAAAGTAAAAAAGAAGAAACGAATATTAATAATTTATTTTCTATCACTCGAAGCCATGGTGGCTCAGAAGAAGACATAATATTCCTTGCAAGGGGCGTGAACGTCATGCAAATTACACAGATAAGGCGGAGAAATATTATGAAAGCCCAGGCCCATGGCAAAAAGAAAAAAAAATTAAAATCGATCTAGCAGCGCGAGGGCGGAGACTGAGCTATCCCTCTGCCTTCTCTGTGGAGTTCAACCCAATCCGATGATTTCACTTGTTATAACAGTTCCCCGCCGTTATGTCATTTTCGGTTATTCCATAAAAAATCATGCTTTTTGGTGAATGTGAGTATTCCATAATTTAAGTGAGTAGTTCAGTTTTTCACATAGCCAAGTGTATGTTACAGCCTTTGAATACCGATTTAAGATAACGGACCTTGATGTTTATAGATGTAATTTAAGATAACGGACCTTGATGTTTATATATGTAATTTAAGATAACGGACCTTGATGTTTATAGATGTAATTTAATCTTAGTTCTGGTCCCGAGTTCACAAAGCATTCTCAGACTTAAGTTTTAACTAAAATATAGCCTTTTATAAAACTTTTGTTGTTTTAATGTCTCAAATGCATCAATAAGAAACTATGTGCAAAGTTTTGTGTTTCTGGATCAAAGATATTTCTCATAAACAGTGATTGAAATTTGTGTAAATTATTAACGTAAGTTTTGTGAACTTGGGGCCTGTTCTGCATTTACTGTTAATGCAACTTCTATCTTAATTACGCAATGTCTAACTGAATAATACGCACATAACATGATATGAGGCGGGAGACTGTCTGCTAGTCTGTCATTTCAGGATTTTATATGGACTTGAAAGTCAGGGGAAACCAAACCCTTGCGCTGATAGGAATATTAATCCTTCCTCCAGCTCGAAAAGGGCAATTCTTCTGCATGTAATCAAGCCAACTTGAAACAAGGTAACATTCGTGAATCGCCCCTTCCATTATTCACGATAATTGTGAACACCTCAATTTATTCCAGTATTGTCCCTGATGTTCTAAAATGTGCGCTAGTATCCCCACTTCTATACCCGGAGTTATTTAAAAAAAATCTATAGACTCTTTCTAACCTCCCGTTTATTGGTAAAGTTATCGAAAAAGTAGTTGCGCATCAAATTAGCTCCCATTTAATACAATATGGTCTAGATGGCCGACTACAATCAGCTTATAAGGCCGGACACAGTACAGACACGGCATTGATCAAAATAAAGAATGATATTGACTTGGCACTAGAAAGACACCTTAGATCATAACATCTTGTCCAAACGCTTAGAAACTGTTACTGTGGTTCTGCAGTGCAATGGACCAAATCGTACCTTCAGAATATCACAGAAAATCAATGCAACAGACCAGCTTTCAAACCTAAATCATTATCTATTGGCGTTCCTCGGGGGTCTGCGTTAGGCCCCTTGCTCTTTCTGATCTATATCTTGCCATTCGGTCTGCTAGTACGAAAACACATTGTACGCTGATGATACTCAGATATACGACTTTTTTCTCTTGACAATTGCCCCGCCCTAATAGCTGACGTATCTACACTTTGTATATAAGAAAGAGCGAGGTGACATTTTTCTTCAGACATCCTGCCGAGATCTTAGAAGGCATTCTCACAGCCTCTTCGGCTTAGAGGCTAGGATTTAGACATCATTTGGAGTTCCTGGGGAAGATATCATGTGGGCCTCCTAGTGAGACATGCCATTAGCCGCCTCGGTTTACAGGCCGGGATACCGACGTCATGCAGGTTTGTTGGGACGTACTGTCAGCCTCTGGTTCGGGGCTGGGATAGAGACGAGAGTTTTAGCCTTTAGGTTTGAGTTCTAGGACTGTATATATTATAATAACTCCTAATGTATTGTACTGTATTTCATATATAAACATAGTCATAAAAACCCAGTGTTCCGGTATTAATTGACCATATATACAACGTCGAAGCCCGAGTTAATTCATCTATTTAACAACACCGTTGTGTCACATGCTTGTTTTGGGAGTCCGTGACCAGGATAGTCCCATCTGCCCCCGTAGTGTCTCAAAACAACATCATACGTCGCATGCAATTCCAAATGAAGATTTCCAGAATTAGGAACTACAGGCACCAGAAGCAGCGCTTGATAGACTCACTCAAAATAACACCGCAACAATCTTGTCACGGGAACCTCAAAATATCATCACATCGCATTGCACCTGAAGCAGCTACACTGGCTACCGGTAAGAGCCAGGATAAAATTAAGTGTTCACACCACCGGTCGGGAAGTGACAAAACCCTACTAGCTCTTCCCCGCTTTCAGCGCCAGGTAGACGAGTTTTCATTTTCCATAAGGGATGCAAAACTTTGGAATGAATTACCCAGAAACATCAGAGAGTGTACCCAACCACCTCAGTTAAGATTTAAACTAAAGATTCATCTGTTTAGAGAATCATATATAAATAGCATCATGCGTGTTCCAGTTTGTACAGCGCTTAGAAATAACTATTGATATAATGTAGAGCTTTAAAAATGAAATTATAATAATAATTTGAGAGTCTCCGATGCCAACAGGTGTATTTTAGAAACATTTGTCAAATGTCCTTTTGTGTTTTATAAAATTTGCCATTGTAATATGATAACAGACCTAAAAAATTAAATTCATCGACAATATCAATATTCAAACCATTGAAATGTCAATATGTTTTCCCTGTTAATTTATCGCCGTTTCTAAAAAACGACAATTATAGTTTTTAAGGCATTTACAGTAAAATTCCACTTTGTGTATAATCAAAGTCCAGTATTACAGTCACCTTGTACACATTGTGTGATTTGGTGATATATTTGGACTACAACTTCATCAAAGCAATTAATCTATCAAAAATTTGTTTCAAATAAATCTAACAACATTGTATTCGCGAGTTGTACCACCAATTCCTTGGATTAATTTGTACCAGAAAGACGTTTCTTACGTTTTCAAACACAGTTAATTAATGTTTGTAAAACAAAAATGGCGTTTCTAGTGGCGATATCTAGAATTGTGAATTTGTTTTGACGCTATTAAGTTTATCAAATTTTTATATCCTTGTATTTAAAATTGATGTAAAAAGTTTACCAAGGTAACTTGATCGTTAGTAAAAGATGGCGACTGGAGAAAGTCGTTTTCATCAGCGCTCCGCCTAAAGTTTCAAAACCCCAGAAATACTGCAACGTAATCAAATAAATGAATATAAAGTGAATGTAATGTATTAACCAGTGTGTATTCTTACGAAAAGGATGTATATTTAGTGACCTTTTGTTGGATTTTGTAACACTTTAAGAATGGATATCGATGAATTGGATCAAGAAACTACTCAGGTGAACACCATCTCAGGTGATGTGGAAAGTCCTTTGTTTGACGTTGTTAAAATAAACTCTATAGTCGACAAGGCAGTGAAAGCGGCTGTAAATGAACTTAAAATTGGTCTTACTGCAATCATCAACGAACGACTATCGAAAATAGAAGAAAGAGTAACAGAAGTTGAAATGACCCTTGTAAACGTAGGCAGCGATGTTGATAGCTTCCATGAACGATTCGAGAAGATTGAATCCAGTAAAAAAATTAACGACGAAGAGGTAATGTTACTTAAAAATAAAATTAACAATCTTGAACAATATACTCGTAAATCGCATCTAAGAGTTTTTGGCGTCAAGGAGACCGCTGGAGAGAGTTGCATAGAGCTAGTCAACAAAATAATTAAAGAACGATTAAAGATTGATCAGCCGATATCCATAGATGCCGCTCATAGAGTCGGACCCAAATCGAAAACAAACCAGGCTGTTGTAGGACAAGTGCATCCAACACAAATACATCATAGAGGCATCATTGTGCGTTTTATGAGACGCGATGAAAGACAACTAGTGCTGTCTAACAGGAAAAAACTAAAACAATCTGGCATATCTATATCAGAAGACATGACACAAGTCAATGTGAAACTTCTAGCAGCTGTACAAAAACACCCCCTTGTGAAATCAGCGTGGTTTTCAAATGGTAAAGTTCGAGCAGAGGGTCATAATGGCAAAACTTGCCGTGTTGAATTATACCCTGATATGGATGATCAACTTATAAAGTATTTATCTGACTGAAGAAATCTGAATGTGTAATCTGATAAATATATGCGAAAATCCGATTGTGTTTCTCAAAAGATAATATGTATACAGATATCTTCTTCCACAGTCGATAAACTTAACATCAAACACAGTTCAACTGCAGAACACACTTCGATGTCAATAATTGGCCACCATACTTTTTGTCGTCTACTCGCTTGTTTGAAGTACATGTAAAATCCATGGTAGTTATGATAGATGTGCGAATACTGTTATAAAAATGTATGTCGCTGTGTCCTCAAGCACTAAACAATACAGATGATGTGTTCCACCCCTTTATCTCATTTCCTTGTTATCTTATAATGGTGTTTATAGATTAGATCCTGGATATAAAGTATTTATTACATAATCGTATTTATATAACATAGCTCAACCTATATATTCTTATAA